TGAGGAACGAAAAGAATAGGTTGCGTTCATTCGGCACAACTGCAGTCCTTTTTCTTTCTGCAGTCGCAGAGGCAGCCCTCCACAGGAGACCAGGGTAATGAACCCCATTCTCTAAACTGTTTTGACATCTCTAATTGCACAGCAAGGCACTTCTGACAGACATGGGAGTAAACAAACCATAAAAGGCAGCAGAGAAGCCATTCAACATTGAAAAACCATGGCAAAAGAAGTGGAGTATGTGTGTGTTTAAAAAAACCCGAGCAGGTGTAATGACAGCAGATTCCTTCAAGTCAAATTGGTTTCAGTCTGGAACAGTTTTCACTGTATTCCTTTACTGAAGCTTTCCACCCATAACAGCCTACAGCCCTGCAACATGCCCTTTACGTTTGCCTTTAGATGCAGGTCGCATGATGTCTCTAACTAAAATGTTGACTCTCAGGACACTAGCCTGTCTTACATATGCCTGTTTGGAAGGAAGCATATTCTGGAGAAGTCAGTCATCATTATACACTGCATTAACACATATTAATGAAGAGCCAGTTGACATTAACAAACGGGCATAGTAATTTTATGTCCGTGTGTCTAAATGAATCCTGCAACAATTTAAACAACTGGAGTTATTATCTCAAATGCAAAACTACTATACTCCACCAGCTTGCCTGGCTGCTATTGAGCAGTCTCTTCCTACATCTCCACTGGAAGATGTTTCAACCAGTATATTTCAAAAGGATTTCAGAGAATATTTTTTCAACACAAACATAGACAGCAGTAAATTTCTGCGTAAGGGAATTTCACGATAGTAGATGTTTTGTTGTTACTTTCATGACATGAGAAAAACCTTTCTCTTAAAGCAAACACACTCTTGTCCACTACTTTTGAAGCAGTACTAATACAGCTGCCTGCGGGAGGTGTCTAAAAGCCAACTTTCAAACTACTTCAAGAACTCTAGCTAGCAGACACATGCTCAAAATTTAATCCTCTTCTAATCCAGGATAAATGTGTTGGCATTAACCCAGCTTAGCAAATTTGTTAGAGTACAATAATGTTAATTTTTAAATACCTATGAATTCTCATGTTTCGATGCCAAGGAGCATTTGAAGGCTCATAATACGTATGACAGCTATGGGTCTATGTGCTTCGCACAGTCAATTGCACCAGAGTAAGCCCATTGAATCAATGAGGACTTAGTGAATCATCTCCTCTATAAGTTCCTTTGTTTCAAATGGGTCTACTCTAACTGTTATTAACTATGCTAAAATAAGTTTCAGGTAGAGTACGGTTCATTTGAATCAATGGAACCTATGGAGGAAGTCACTCACCACATCTCAGTTGATTCAATGGGCCTACTCTGGTGTGATTTACTATGCTGAGAAACAGGATTTCGGCTAATAACAAATAACTTAAAAATACGATCTACAATCCCACTTTCTAACAGTAGTAAGTCTGTTTCAATAGTACTTTGCTATTGGTTGCAAAAAAGAGAGAGAGCTCAACAGTACATTTGCTTATGTAAACCTGATGTAGAGAGAGAGCTCAACAGTACAGTACATTTGCTTATGTAAACCTGATGGATTTTTATGAATTACATTAGAAGCAAAGTGACTCTCCATTACTAACCAAGTTGATTTTTTAAATTCTCTCCACCCCCCTTCTATTGGAGGTCTCATGAGATAAACCATTAATTTGACAAAGAATCCAGGAACAAGACAGATTCTGTTGGCACATCAAACAACATGTACTCACTTCAAGCCCATCACTTAGCATTCCTCAGGGCCAGCTATTTACAGAACCTAAACACCACGAAGTATTGTGTAGCTTTTACACTAGCAAGGTTTGATGTGTTGCCAGTTATTGGAACAACCATGTGAAGAAATTCATGTTGCTCTGAGGCTCTGTCCCTGTGGAACCAGAGATATTGAAACGTTGACACATAATTATATTTTACTGTAAATGTTATCAAGAGGATAGAGAGAAATTTATCTACCTAATTATGACACCCCTTGAGGCCATTTTGATGAGTTATTACTTTTAATGAAAGGATATAATATCACTATTACCTTGGGGGATTGCAGTGTTTTTAAATCTAGATTTGAAAACCTGGGCAAATTTGATAGTCAACGGCCAATTACATAATTTGTTGTTTTTGTCCTTATTATGAGATTTTACTGTGTTCTCCTATTGTTCTCATGTTTGTGGTACAAGGAAACCTTGATTATCACCAGGAGAAGTAAGCAATTTGGCTTCCACCATAAGCTGACTTTTTGCTTTCGTCTGATCTTGTCTCTTGGGTGTCAAATTCAACTTTTCTCTCTGTCTCTCTGAATGTAATCAACACATGATGAACTCCAAAATAATCATTATTAATATGCACGTCCAGGCCTGGCCCAAAACATTTTGCTCTCTGAGTTAATGTTGCAATTCATATGTATCCCTCAGCTCAAGGCAAATACAACCCCAAGTTAGTCAATTTTTAAAAAAAAGCTGGGGGTGGGGGAAGCTCTAACAAGATCACCCACAAACATCGTTGATACCATTATTAGACCACTATGGAGTTGGAAGGTAGCTTTCATTTGTGATATTGTAGTGGAAACTGGTCAAGTTATTTTTATACTCAAGGAAAGAAATTGTAAAAATGCCTTTTCCACACCTTGGTGGTGAAAATACAAGAATGACAAACAATCAACAATTTCCTGCCCTTTTTGTAACATCTCAGCTCAACCAGCTTCTTCAGGATTGAGGGCCAGACCTTTATGATATGAGCTCATACCAACAGCAGCTTTTAGGCAACTTTGCATTGACCTCCAGTTTTATCCTCTCACGGTGACACAACCAGGTCTGTTAATGACACATCCTGGCCAACTTGTTGCTTCATTGACAATGGCAAAGTCTATCATGCCTGAAAAAGAAAAACTGCCCCATTCAAAACACAACACTTAGTGACAGCAAAGCCATTGTATGCGGAGAAGCAGAACTGTCCAACGGATGTAATAGTGGAATAAGAAGTTCTATACAGTTACTGGAAACACCCTTTAGGCTACCCAAAAAAAGCCAGTGGATATGATCAGTTGCATTCCTGAGAATTGCATAACAAGGAAAAGAAAGTAATGCTGAACTTTATTAGGCAAGTATTCCCCCCACACACACACACACGTTTCCACACTGTGTGGAAAACTCCACAGACCTGTCCAGTACTTTAAGAAAAGGGCTCTTGAACAAGGATGGCATGTAATGAATGGGAGATAAGAAACTCTGAAGAGGGAAACATACGCCATTGCCATAAGATCTGTGCTCAGCTTGCATGAATATTAAGCAAATTTTAAGTCTGTAGTTCTGACTGTTATTGGCATAATTTCTTAAAATCTGTGAACATGCCTCCTCCACAGGCAGCAGCAACAGGTGTTTAAGACACAGCCAGACCTTTGATGAATGGAGGCAAGACTGCATACAGACCCAGCCTTGTTGCCCTTCCTGTGGTCAAACCAGGCTAGGGATGACAAGGAGCGTACTCCAACGTGTTCGAAGATGGATGGATTGGAGGAGACAGCTTCAGGAGGTTTTTAACCTAAACGCCTTTGGCATTTCCCAGCCCAGGGCAGAGAACGGGGGTCCTCTACATCAGTGATCCCCAACCTTGGGCCTCCAGATGTTCTTGGACTACAACTCCCAGAAGCCATTACCACCACCTCGGCTGGCCAGGATTTGTGGGAGTTGAAGTCCAAGAACATCTGGAAGCCCAAGGTTGGGGACCACTGCTCTACATACTCCCTCTGCAGCTCCCTCCCCCTGTGCTTCCAGAATGTAGGACACAAACCAATACAGTCATCATTTTTTAAAAAGGCATGCCAACATGAGGTTGTTAAGGGCTGTTTGGCAGTGGAAGGAACTTCCTCAGAACTCTCCTTCTTCGGGGTTTTTATCAGATCTTTGGGGAGCTTTAGCTGTGGATTTCCTGGTTTGGTGGTAGGAGATCGGGGACCCCTGGGCTCCTTCCCGCTGGCGAGTTATGATCCCGTGTCCCTGTCCTCCACTTCCCACCTGGGCTTTCACGCCCAGTCAAAGATGTGGGGTGCTGACCTCCAACAACACGGGGAGGGCCGCACATTTCCTATTCGTGTCTCCACAGGGATTCCCCACCCCATCCCGGGAGAAAGGGGGCGCCGTGATGATCCCGTCGAATCTGCGCGCATGAAATGCACCATTACAACGCGTCTGTCTGTGCATATCAAAATCGGAAATAAATTTAGGATTGGGGGTGGGGGGAAGAGCCTCCTGCCTCTTTTCCGGAGTGCCTCTTCCCCGCAGGTGCTCCGGTCCTTAGATCCTCGACCCACTCCGACGCCCGGCGAAGCGACCCACGAGGGATCGTAAACGGCACGTGGATCCGGCGGGCGACCCAGCCGTCTCGCCTGTTGCTTCCAGGAGCGGATCAGGGATCGGGGGAAGGGGGGTCGCTCCTCGTCTTCCCGGCCGCTTACCGCCTCCCCCCCTCCCGCTCCCCAAGCCCGCCCAGCGCCGCCCCTCCTCGCGCCCCGCCCCCCCCCCCGGACC